GCAGCCTCCAGAACCCAACTCTATCCCTGCTAACGTCTCACGGTGCTTGAAAAGTCCCCAGCTCGTCAAGGACCCCTGGGTCCCTGGCATCATGCTCATCGCCCCATCGGCAAGGTTGATCAGTGGAGTTTTCCACGGCCAAGTCATGAGCTGAACTACCATGTAGGTTTCCTTAAAACTGCAAGATCAGAGGCTGAGGGCACAAGGTGCAAGGCTCTTTGGGTTCTTTGCATCTATCTAAGCCTTGAGAGGCAGCGCTGCTTCTTCCCAAGACTACGGCTTGTCGTTCTGACCGAGGGCTCGGGCTCTCTGCCGGGGCAGGGTTGAATCTCTGCTCAGAGTTGAAAGCTTGATGGATGTTTGTGCGAGAACTTGACCTGGAGAACTGAATGAGTGTAGAACAGAAAACGTCTTCCTAAGCAGGCTGACAATGGGCGAAGGGGAAAGGAGGAGCAATCACGAGAACAATCTACGCCTTGGCTGGTGCTTCTCAGCATCAGAGACCTGGTATCATCCAAGCGGCCAGCACAGCTGTCATGACGAAAAGCTGAACCTGGTGGAATCGTATCAGACACTGTTCTGCTTGTGACGCTCCAGTCCATGTCTCAAGGTCGTGGTGTTACTTTGGAAGAACTGCAGTTTCGCAAGGGCAGTACGACGTCTTTTCGCCCAGGCATCGAACACACGACAGCAACCTAGTAATGCCAGAGCCAACGCACCCATCTCAGGACAAACCCATGCACTAGACATGAGTGTACGGAAGAGGGCCAAGTTTAGTACAACATTTTGCGGGGACTACGTTCCTGCGTGATCACCAACCCCCGCCTTTTTTGGCAGTGCCATTCAAGGAACTAGATGCAAAGCAACCCCTTAGATTGTCAGCGTTACCGAAGCCTCTGTTGAAAGTGATTTGGCATACTCAACGAGTGGTAATGCTGCCTAAATACCTGTGGCAAATCGGTGAAGATCACCACGGGCAGGGACAGAAGAGGACCTGGAGTCGG